TAATAAAAAGTGGATAAAAATTTTAAAAAGTTTATATTAAAGCTAATGTAACCTCTATATATATTGTTCGGGGTCCTGATTAAACGCTATACGTATAAAAGTTAAGAATCAGAAAATTTTATAAATTACATAAAAAAAACTCGACTTTTAATTTTATTTTCAATATTCCAAACAAAAAAAATCACCCATATAATAAAAATATAACCCGGTCAGGTACATAATTTTATACGTAACTTAAAGATTGTACATATATAAAATATATATATATATATATATCTGATATATATAGTTGTACGTACTATATATAAACGTATCGGTATATAATAATATATATAAGTCATTTTGTGCACAGTGTCACGGGGCATTGCATTCACACATGATTAGAAACTATATACACAAAGAAGTTCGGCTCTATTGATTAATTAATTAATATAAGTGGGATTAAGCCTTTAAACAAAAACCGTTAAATGTCCGAAACTAAAATTTTTAATTTACACCATCTATATTTCTCTTTGTTCCGGATAGTTTGAAATGAAAGTCACGTTACATTTTAATATATAATTTATTAAATAATTATAACAGATAATGACGCGCCCATTTTCATATCGCCGATAACCTGAGAATCAAATAGATAACCCAACTTTTCTATGTCACGAAATTATTTGTAACTACGAAAGATATTTTAATTCATCAATTCATTAACAAGTTAACATTTTTTTAAATCGAATGCGGAGTCGATCATCTTTATATCACAACATATTGATAAATACATCATTATTACGAATAATGACAAACTTATCATACTATTACGATTTCATACGAAACTATCGTAGTTTGATGACAAATCAAAAGTCAATTCACATATTCAGCAGTAAAAAAAAAAAAAAATTTCTAATTATTGTTAAACTCAGTATTGATGACAGAGATATATAAATACAGGTCATATAGACGTGATCTTTGTTAATTCTTTTAAAGGTAAATATATGATAAATATTTTCAGTATTTTCAGACTTTTGAAATTTTAACTAAAAAACGCGTCTCTTTTTTATTTTATCATATTAATGAAAATATATATTCCATATGAAAGGATGAATTCACCTGATGAAGAATTGAATAAGCAGCAAACACAAGATAACATTGGTGAAAAAACAAAATATAGTCAAGAGACACCAGTTGATAAAACACAAACAGATTTAAATAATAATGTCGCTCGATCGTCAATAGAATCCTTGCTTGGTTTTGTTACACCAAAAGATGATGCTATTCACACCAAAGAAGATAAAGTCGAAACAAAATCAAATTCAAGTATACCCATAATTGGAGATACACCCGTAATTGAAGAGACACCCATAATTGGAGAACCATCCATCATTGGAGAGAGGAAAGAATCGATTATTAACGGAAATACATATATCACTTTTACTCCACAACCCAATAATACACAGAGTTCACATAATGTACAAAATGTTCTCCATTATTATCATGCACCATCGCCTGAACCTTCACAGTCACAGACCATGACACCCATCAGATCAATCTGTAGTGTTATTTCACCTTTATCTTCACATACACCAACACCAACGCAACAACATATATCACCGAGATTACACACGACAGAACAAAATTTAACAACAGATATGAACGTTTCACGACAAGAACCTCATGCGATCTCATTTTATCCTCAACATATGCATATGTCAATTCAACCTACAGTTTCAAATGCTTATTCACATATCCAATATGAACACGCAACGCATGCTACAACGACGATGAATCAACAACATATCTTACGTCATCACCAACTTGGCCAATCACCTGAAACACAAGTGACTCAACAGCCTCAATCTATTCTTCAACATTTGTCAGTGCAGACAAATTCACATAGTATACCTACACTTCATTATCCAATCACGAATCAACAAATAAAAACTCAAGCTGTATCAGAGGAAGAGCGCCACAGGCGACGTCTCGAACGTAATCGAATAGCAGCTCGACAATGTCGAGAACGCAAAAAAGCTTATGTCACAAATTTGGAAACTCGAGTCACAAGACTTGAAGAAGAAAATTCAAGATTACGACAACAGCTTGGAAATTTACAAACAAAATTGAGTTATTGTCCAGCTGAAGTTCAAGAAACTTTGAGACTGTATTGCTTAGTTGAAGACTTGAAAGAGAGATTAAGTAACGGGCAAACAATAAAGACTGATCCTAAAATCGGTGGGACATAGTGAAATTAAATAAATTGAATAAATAAAGGATTTATATAACATTTCGCTTTGTTCTTTTTTTTTTTTTGATTCGTTTTTTTTGCTCGTGAAGAGAAGATTCACGCAAATCAATTTCAATATAATTTATTATAATCTTTCGCGTATTTTTATTTCGTAAATTAGCATTCATTATACATCTTATAATATTCTAAAAAATTGTACTGTACATGACGTGAAGGTGGTATATTCTTTTACGTGTTATGCGATTTCATCAAATAACGTTAAATAATAACGATAATTTCTTTTAGTTATTATTCTCAAATTGGGTACAATGTCACGATATTCATATTCACTAACCTATTCTTACATTACAAAAAAATTATACGTATTATTAATTTATTATTGATTATTGATATATAATTATTAATTAATACGTATCGGTATATAAAGACGATAACGATAATGGATAATAACTAACAATAGGTACAATGGGGGCGGGTCTGTCCATCGCACAATTCACGTGACTATTGCACTCTGGGTACTCTTAAGATGATATTATAATTTCTTCCGCACATCGACATGGATCTTATAAGTATTTCTGATATGGAAGTTGTCGGTTATGTATCTGGTATATCTGGTATGTACGTACGTACGTACGTACAGTGTTGATCGTCCCGAGCTTTTTTTTTTTGTCCATTCCATAAAATGTATATTTATATTTTGTGTATTTATATTTAGTATATACCAAGTGACAAATCGATCATTCGTGAAATGCCACAAGATTTTTTTATCAATTCAATATATATCCTCATTTGTATCTGTACAAGAATGTACAAGTTTCTTCATGGAAATGTATTGCATATAATTTAAATTGTCCATTTGTATCTCGATTGCATGATCACCTCTGCTTCAATATATCAATTATGTCATACTATACGTATAGAGTCATTTAATTTGAATTTTCATAAATGATCTCCCTATTTTTTCGTCGTGTTCTTGGCTGTGTCCTTTCCCACACCCACTTTTTACTTGCTGTATAACTAGTTACTGTATGGTAGGACAAGTGTAAGGTTCTCTTTTAAACGTTTTATATTTTCTGGTTACGCAAAAACTTTCGAAGAAACTTTATAGTTTTTTCACTTTTTTTTTTATCAAGCTTATTTCAATGAAAATTTCATTATGTTTGAATCTACGTCCACTAACGAAAATGTTACTGTAACTCAAGAAGGTGAAGTACCTGATAAACTGTCTTCAAATAATAAAGACACTTCTGTTACTAGTAACGTTTCGGTCGACCTCAAAAATATTTTTCCTACTTCTGGTCGTTTCATTCAAATTATTGACGTTCCTAAAGCTCTAAATATTCAAAACACCCAAAGTAATCAATTTATTCAAAATAATCAATTTATTCAAAATAATCAATTTATTCAAAATAATGAAATTATTCAAAATAACCAAATTCAAAATATTCAAAATATTCAAAATGTTCAAAATAATACAATTAATGATTTATCTTCAAAAGTAATACATTTATTGGATGCAACAACTGAGGATCCCTTTACTCTAGAATCTTTTGAAGCGCTTATACATCAACATACCGATAAAGCCAAAGATTTCATTTTGGCTAGAGTAACTACTGCTGATCCTTCGGATGATTCAAAGATTTATAATTCTTATTATTCGGCTCATCATATTAATAAAGTACTGTTTAGGACCCAACCTGAACAAGGTTTATTACATAGAATGAAAGCAAAAAATGTATGTATGTTTATTAAACATATATATCTAATTAATTAATCTTAACAAAAAAAATTTAAATATCTTTTTTAAATTATTCTAAATTTTAGCCTTTAAATAATATGAATATTATTGGTGATGTATATTATTATGTCGTTAAGGCTGAAACTGTTAAATCGATTCAATCTCCAACCTCTCCTTTAACTGTGCAAAATAAAAATTTTATACTCGAAAATGGTGTTCCTATGGCTGAAATATCTGCTACCTCTGCTCTTGATACAAATGAAGGAGATTATTTGATTAATATTGATCCTGATAAAATGATAAATAGAGAGTGTGGTTTACGTTCTTCTCCTCCTTCCATATGGCAAGGTGATCGAGATGTTGATGAATCTAATCCAAAGAATTCTGTTATCATCAAAAATAATGAACGTCGGTGGTCTGAGAATGATTTAATACGACTTCCTCCAAAAGTTTTTCATCCTGTTCATCTTCAATCAAAAAGACATTCTTCTATTACTAGTCTACCTTCTTCTGATCGAATTACTGATCTATATCTACAATCTCAACCTTCTATCACTACTCCTGATAATATTCAATTACATGAAATTAATTCTACTTCTTCAGTGTCAACTTATCAAAATGACATTACTACCGTTTCAAATCCATTATCTTCTACTTTGGAAATTTCAAAATTACCAAATTCGTTCTATAAATTTGAACACACAAAATATAATGTACCTCATAATTTTTATAATCAAAATCCTGTTTCAATATCTCCTTTAACAAATCTTCATTCCTCTAATTCAATTAATTCAAATGAAAAAGAAAATACTCGTAATGTTTATTATTATCAAGCTATTTTTTATGCTACCGATGATGATTTCTTGATGAAATCTTCTGTTCGGCAATATTTCAAATATCACGCTTTAGATCAGTCTGATACTCAACTATTTGTTATCAACGCTTCTCAAAGTACTCATGCAACCGGATCTCTAAACGCCACACCTCCTAGTACCCATTTGGAACGTATAATTGCTAACAACGGAATATATGTTGATGACAGTACTACAAATAGTAGAAATGGCTCAATTGGTGGTTCGAGATGGGCAAGGCAGTTACGAAATATTCGTTCAAATAAGGGTCTTAAGTGGTTGGTGTTAATGTATATGGTTTTTGGTTTTTTACTAATAAGGTTCGTAGTCAGTGAGGCTTACGCATACCTTATGGCTTTTTTGTTGATGCTATGTTTGTTTCTCGTCTTTTGTGTTGGAAGCGGAATTGGTATTTGGGGAAGATAATGCTATGACCAAAATTTTCGATTCTTTATGGAATCGTATTATATTTGCTTATTTTATCTAATATTTGATTGATTTTTTCAGAATCACAATGAACTTTTTTATATATAACACTCAAATAATCCTTTTTAACTATAAATTTGTACTAGTATTATTTCTATTATTACTACTATTATTGGTACCTTTTTTCTTTTTGTAAAAAAACGGGCATTCTTATATACAGTATGCCACCAATTATAAGCTTAGAATTCGATAATTGATAAAATTAAAACAGTGTAAATAAATTTTTCTAATAAGATTTTATTTGGTTTATAAACTTTTAATTTATTTTATGATATACAGTAAAAATTTTAATTATATAGTACGTTTGTGTGTTCTAAAGATGCAGTTATGGTAAACCTTTTTAAATGCAATTCTCCAAATACATCGTTTATAAAAAATCTTTCTAATTGTATATTTCTACTTGGTTTTAATTATAAATATTTATAGATTTTTATATTTCTAAATGCAATATTTGTAAATACATGATTTGCAAATTTTTTCTTAGCTGTGCATTTAAAGAGGGTTGACTATATTGTAAATGTTGTTATTAAATTTAAACCTATTTATAAATTATTTATAAAAAAAAAAAAAAATAGAAAAAAAGAAAATACTACTGTATATACTGTATCAAATACACTAAAGTAGCTTAGAAAATAGGTTCTGGGTTTAAAAAAAATTAATAAAAAAGTGAGAAATGTGCTTATTATAGCTTGTTTTACAGTAAAATTTATAAATTTTACTATCTGTTATATACAACTTGTTATATAAAAGATTAAATTTTGAAGCTTACTACATGTCACATAAAATTTATTCAAATTTTGCAAATCTGTTTTAAATTTACAGTATTATTAGTGTGCTGTATGTAACATTTAAATTCTATACATTTATATAAATAAGGTCTCAAAGGTTTTAAATAAGCTGAGAGATGCAAATTAATATAAAACAATCAAGGTTTAGTGCAAGCAAATAGTGTACAAATTAATAAAACTAAATACACTGGAAAAATATTAAAATTATATAAATGCAAAACTTTTAGAAACGAAAATGGGGTATCATAAAGTAGAAATGATTAAGTGGTTGCGAGTTAAATATGAATCGATCCTATTAAATTATAAGATGAATCGAATGACAGTCCTAACATCCTAGTCCCGGTGAATATTCGATATTGTGCATGACATTTCCAGTTTTATAATTTAAATTATTTTGTCTACTTCTATAAGCCCGTAGACCAAAAATACATTAAAAAAAAAAGAAAAAAAAAAACCTAGTTTACAAAATATTATCTATAGACAAAAAGTTAAAAAATAAATATTAGGATGGATTTAGGTCACTCTTGAACATTATTAATATGAAATGCCCTAAAAGTCAATTATGACTTCTCATAAAGGGAAATAGGAGGAATTAGAAATAGTATTCCAACAGTTATTATCGATGCAAGAGTATCCCACATTATAAATTTTAAGGATCGTTTACGATGAGCCAATAAAACGGACCTTTCTCGAATTTTGTGGAAATTTAAAAATTTACATTCACTGAAATGTAATTAAAAATAAATAAATAAATTATATGTGAATAGAAATGCGAGAGAAACAATTATACACAAATAGAAAACGAAGATGTACCTCACTCCAAAAATACTAAAGATAGGAGAAAATCTTGTTGCAGCGGTTTGAAGAAAAATCCACCCAAGCCATATAGCGGGAAAACAATAAAAACGAATCAAACGATTTTCCAATCCCATAAATATATAATAAAGATCCAAAGAAAAACCAAGTGTTAGGCACATTATCCCCAAAGGAAGAGCAAGTATAGCATGAACTTGAGTTATATTCATTTCGACAGCAGATTGAATGAATTTTGGGAAATATATCACATTCATTATATGATGTACATAAGATTTTGCCGAAGAAAATACTACAGGATTATATCTTCCTTGGCGTTCGATAAGATCAGCCATTGTATTTCGATTTTCTTCAGGTAGAATACTCATGTGACCATATTTTCTATATATATTCAAAGCAGATTTAGTTAAATCTTCTTCGTCAACACGTTTTACAATTTTCAGCTGACTATAACTATTTGATTTATAGTTTTCAGGAATTGCGATTTCATGACCATATTGTGTTGATGATATATGATTATGTGACATCACAGGATTTTGAGAATCTACGGAGGTAGTTCCAGTATCATCAACACTTGAAGAAGTAGAATGATTTTGATCCCATTCATCAACAACTTGTTCTTCATAATCATAGTCATCATCATTATCATAAACGAATTGATTCTTTTCTTCATAACTACGTCTTTCCCTTGCTTTTTTTGTATGATTTTGATACTCCCGCCATGATTCAAATAAATTCTCATGAGTCACAACGTCTAACCAGAAATTTAAGTTCTCTTCACCCTGCCATTCTTGTTGAAGATAAGAATAGAAATTATATTGAGATAGTGGAGAGCCAGTTTTATTCATTAAAACTTTTTCGAGTGGTGGAAAAGATGTAGTATCAGTTATTATATTATTATAAGACTCTTCAGTACTGAAAGTATCTTGTTGAGATAAATTATTAAAAACACCACTTGTTGAATCAGGGTAGATTTGCTGTGACGAAAAACCATGGTGTGAAAAAGTATTATCATGTGCAGTTTTCATAGAGCTACCAAAGGCCATTTTAGGTACAGTTAAAGTAGAGCTTGTCGATTGCTTAGGTAATGGAGAGACATTATTTTTATTAATTTGTTCCATTGCGCGCAAGAAGCTCGCAACATATATATTAAAAAAAATAAGCCGATAAAAAATATTGAGAGTTCGGTGATAATAGATAGGATCCTGGTTAAAGAGTGATAATCTTGTACTCAGTACAGTATTAATATTAAATATCCATTTTTCTCTCGTTCTATGAATATTAATGAAAGATTGTAGGTAAGTTAGTTTACTACAGTATTATCCAGTTTAAAGAACTAAGGGGTGATTTTTTGGTAATAGAAAAACTTTTTACATTATAATTAACACTGTTATTTCGTACGCACCTATAAAAAAAAATTGAGCCTCCTTGTGGAATGGACTGTGGAATGGTTAAAACAATTTTATTCGGGACTAAGTGAATAATATTAATGCAAATACTTCTTTTGGAAAAAATTGACATGCAATTTGTATTACAAAATATATACCTATATACCGTATTAATTAATAAAATTTTTTCGTAACATGCCGTTTCTTGGGATCACCAATATTATATTGTATATATATAATATATTTTTTATATTTTATATGTACAGTACGTACAAAGAATTCGACTATGCCTAATTTTTCTTTTTTTTTTTTTTAGCATATACTTTTAAGTACTACAAACAAATAATCGGCATATAAGTTTTGATCGATTTAAAAATATGTAAATCAGGGAGTGGTAAAAAATTTACACAACGCATATATGTAATAGACTTTTAATAAATAATCAATGCGTTTGCACGACATTTGCGCAAAGATTATTCAAAGATGTCATGGTGCTAACGGTAGTAAGTAGATCTTTTAATATTTAATACGCAGTAAAATGATTATAATATCGCTAGCTACTGCATACAGCATCCCTAAAAACATTACTCTATTACCCAATAAAATCTCTGAATTCGGGACCATTATTCAATTTTAATAAGATGCTGGGTGCTGTATGATGTGCTGTATGCAGTGGTCAACGGAATTTTTGCGATTCGAACATGTACATAATAGGACATACCATAGAAATTTTTTTTAAGGTTTGGAACTATCAAAAAAGTTTTTTATTAGATTTGGTTATGTATGATCTTGTTATCTTTTTTATCTTTTGTTTAAAGGTTCAAAAACCACATATGTAGTGTTGATTATCAAGCTCGACCAACGATAATCGAATATCGATATATATACATAAAGCAAATAAGTGCTGAATGATAATTTATAAAAGATTGAATACTATTAATTCATTAATTTAAATCAAACAATTCTTTGATACTAGTGCTCCTAACGGGTTTGATCTTAACGACCCGAAAACTGACTTGGTTATAGTAAATTTATTATATGCCCATATACTAAATTTATGGTCGTTCAGATCAAACCCGTTAAGAGCACTACTTGGTACGAGTCATGCCATCATAAAATATTTGTATGGTTCACGTCACTTATAGTCATCAAAGAAAATTCATATAAATTCAAATAGCTTCTTGTCTTTTAATTTAAGTGA